TTTTATGCAGCGTCAGTGCATGTGTTTGTCTATGTATATGTATAAAAAAAATGTATATATATACTTTAGACTGTTTAGCTTTTTTTTTAATTGTGTTCTTAATTCACTTATTGCACCTTTCAGAAAGTACAGAAATTCCACCTTACCTGACTAATTGTCCCAGCAATGGGCTTTGCAGTAGACTGCCACCAGACTGCATGACATGTAACACAAACTATTCCTGTATATATGGGAAGACAGCAACTTTTGATTGCAAAGTCAAGCCGCATGTTCACTGTGTTGTAAGTAACCTGTTTCTCTTAACCCCAGATTTAAGTAATAAAACTGTGGCGTCTTGTCTTAAAATGCAGAATATTGATTTCCAGGTTCTGATGTAGACAGGTTTGCAGTTCTGTGATAAGTTTGATCACTCACTGTGGGCTGTTGAAGAGGCAGGCCTGTCCTTCCCTGGTTTGCCTTTCTTGCCTTGGATCTTTTTGTTACCTGGCCATGCCTTTGAGTTAAACCACTCCAAACATTTTGAGAGTGGGGAGGTAAAATATCTGTCAGAGCTACGAACTGATCTTACAAGTGAAACTAAATGAGTTCTCCTTTTGGCAGCAGCCTTAGATTGGAGGAATCAGGAATGTTAAACACGACTTTGATACCTCTTTGGTGTTTTTCTATTCTGCTCTGTAAGAGGTAGAAAACAGAGCAATTGTTCTTTTGCCCAAAATATCTACTCATTAAATATAATTTGATACTGCACATTGATTTTTGGTTTTAATACTATTGAAGTAATAGTGCTGTCCTTTTACAGGATGAGAATAACCACGAGCAGGAGAACTTTACAATTAACATGACGTGCCAGTTTTGCTGGCAGCTTGCCACAAGTGATTATGTCTGTACCAATTCCACAAACTGCATGACAGTTTCCTGCCCTCGGCAGCGATACAATGCAACTTGCACAGTCCGGGATCACATTCATTGTTTAGGTAAGGTGGGCAAGGCTGGAGTTCTCTAAAGAATTTTCCACATACTCTGTAATGGGTGAATTCAAAGATTGTTTGTGTCCTTTTGCAATAATAACTTGCTCTGTGATCAATCTACTGAATTTTTTATTGTTGCATTTCATTTTTTAGCGTAATAGCAACATCTAACTGCAAACATTGGCTTATTATATTGTTGTATACTGTCACACCAGAGAAAACAGTTCTTTT